TGAAGCGCAAACCACACCACCGCGAACTCCCGCACTATGCTGTGAGCTCGACGGAAGGACAAACACTACCGCCCCTGGCCGGCCTGGTGAGCACTGTTCACAAAGCCTAAGCCGAGAGACAACGCGTCTGTGAACACATCGAGCAAGGGCTCAAGCAGGCACCTAGGCACTGAACCCCGATAAACCCAAAAAGGAAGCCGGCGACGCAGCAGCTGACACCAAGCACCCAGGGGTCGAACCCAGCAATCGTGAGAGGCGGAAGGGACGTCCCCGAAGGAACCACAACAGCCGACAAAGCCAAACTCGTCCCGACGGGTAGACCATTGTGGCGAAGTTCAGGCTCCCGCACAAACCCTCGAGCAACCCCGGGTGACCCGGGAGCCCCGCCAAAATAGGTGCAAGTGGGACTGCAGTTGTAGGAGAGACTCCGGAGGAAGAGATGAGGAAACGGTCAGAGTCCCACACAAGACCCAGCCACCACACTCAAAGCACAGTGCTGGAATCACTGGAGCCAATCACACGACCTCCGCCTCTAGCATCCTCCTAAGAACTGAAGGGTGGATAGCTGTCACAGGGGTCTGGGGCTTCCCCTTCCCCCTCCCGGGGAGGGGGAAGCTGCGCAGACAGCGGTGCAGCGACGTGTGATGTCATGATCGTTTGCTCGTTTCTTTTAGGGGAGTTCTAGTTACTTGTTCGGCATTTGGTAGCAATAATTTCACCAGAATAAGGGTTTGTTTTGGGATGTTTACCTTTCTGGGTGCCTGACCCGGTCGATCGCAGACATAGAATGCTTCTAACCACATTGAGGTTTCTATAGGCCATTGCTCCCCATGCCTCTTTGAGGGACCAGGTTTTGGCTCATGGTCCCCGCTAGGCCCAGAAAACTCCATGCACCTTGACTGATGCCAAAGTCTGACATTAGCATATCAGCCTGGTTAGCTCCAGGGAGCTGAAAGGGCTCCCCCCAGAAAACAACCGTGAACTGAAGGGGCCACCACAAACCGAGGAGGAGAAAAGAGAGAGCACCTGGTCCAACGACCAGGAAAGCTCAGGCGATGCATGAGCAGGCTGGAGGTGGAACAAAGTCCAGGCAGCTTGTGGAAAGGAGCAGAAGTAACATCCACTTCGAATACAAGCAGAAGTGGCTCCGCCAGTACTGCACGATACGAGGAAACAGTATTCGGCATAAGATGACGGTCCTGAAACAACCAAGAAAGGAAGGACAAGACAACCTGATCCGAAACTGAAGAAAACCTACCGAGGGCCAAGACAACAAAGGACCGCTAGGAAACTTCATACTGCTGCCAAGACGAAGCACGAAGGTGGGACACCATCAACAGTCACCTGCTCACCATACAAATAGTAATAGACCCGCATCAGAAAGACCAGATGCAAAGACTTGAGAAGACTGAACCAGCTACGTAATGGACTGGCTTGATTTGCTGAAAGAGGCGGAGCTGCGGGAAGACCCCCGAGTTCGGACACTGAGTAAGCAGTGCCTGAAACCAAGGTTGGGCTGGCCAACAAGGGGCCAACAGGACTACTCTCCCTTCGCAATTCTCCAAGCGAGCCAGGACCTGAAGCAACGATGAAACTGTGGGGAAGGGGTACAGGTAACCCCACCTCAACCAGTTCTGCCTGAAGGCATCGACCCCAATGGCCTCGCAGTCGGGGAAGGGTGCCACATAACTCGGAACACGCCCTGACCATGCCAACGCAAAGAGGTCCACCACCAGGAGCCCGTACATCCAGCAGAGCCAACTGCCAGACATATGAACGTGAATGGCCAGGAAAGCCTAACCCTGAGAACTCGGCAGACGAGTCACCTGAAGCGACTATCCCCAAAGAGCAAAGGACCGCATCGAACCCCCCCATTGTTAAGGCAATGAACCACTGGGAAGCAGTTCGAATGAAGCCGGATCATTGAACCCCAAATGACCCGCACCCACTGAAGCAACATCCACACGGCTGCGAACTCCCGCACAGTGCTGTGAGCCTGATGGCAAGATGGGCCCCACCAACCCTGGCTGGCCTGGTAAGCTCTGGTCACATAGCCCCAGCCAAGAGACAACGCATCCGTGAACACATCGAGCAAGGGCTCAGGTAGGTGCTAAGGCACTGAACCCCGAAAAAGAAGCCGGCGACGCAGCAGCCGCCGTAAGGCACCCGGAGGCCAAACCCAGCGATTGCGAGAGAGGCAGAAGGGACCTCCCCAAAGAAACCAGAACAGCCAATGAAGCCAAATCCGGCCCAGCGTGTAGACCAACACAGCAAATTTCAGAATCCCACACAAACCCTCAAGCAACCACCTCGGGACCTGAGAGCCCTCCATAAACAGCTGAAGGTGGAACTGCAGCCGCAGCAGAGCCTCCAGAGGGAGAGACAAGGAAGCGGTCCGAGAGTCCCACACAAGACCCAGTCAAGTCCGAACCTGAGAGGGAACCAGATGGGACTTCCTCCAGTTCACCAAGAATCCGAACCCGGTGAGCTGGGAAAGAACCAAATCCCTTGTGAGCAGACATGCAGACTGGGTGGGATCCCACACCAGCCAGTCGTCAAGGTAGGCCAGAACCCAAACCCCTAATAGAGGCAGACAGGCCACCATGACCTGGGTAAAGCGTGTGAACACGCGAGGCACCAGATTCAAGCCAAATGGAAGGCAATGAATGCGGCAAGCCTGATGCCCCACAACAAAACCGAGTCAGTCCTTGAACACCAGATGAATCGAGACGTACCAATATGCATCCTGCAGGTCCAGGGATACCACCCAAGCATCTGGCTCTAAAAGAAGACGGACCTGGAACAGAGTAGTCATCCAAAAGGAGGGGCAATAGACCCAGGGGTTCAGATGGGACTAGTCCAGAATGAACCGCAGATCCGCGCAGTCCCATTTCAGAACTGGAAACAGGCGAGAAACCTACCTGAGAGACAAGTATGTTTGACCACACCCGAGCGAACCCACTCCAAGATGAACTGACAACACGCAGGAGAGGAGGCCTGCCCTGCTATCTCTGAACCTCCTGAAGGAAAAGAAGCCACCAAAAGGCACCGCAGGTCACAAGAAACGACCTGAAATGCCCACAAATCATGGGACCAGGCATGGGCAAACAGCACGAGCCTCCCCCCCCCATTGTCCCGTCAAAGGGCAAACCACAAAACGGCTTACGCCCCTTACGACAGACGAAATGAGCAATTATTGCACCAACCAGACATCGCTGGCTGCAAAGGCTGCACCAGCACAGAAACTGGCACCACAGTCTACCACGATGAGGGGAACCCAGAGGCCTGACACGACCCTTCTAGGAAGAACCCCCCATGCTTCCCTCCCCCTTCCTGGAGAACCAACAAGTCCTACATGAGACGACAACTAGAAGCTGCTGCTTGCGGATATTGCACCACCTCAGACTCTGCAAACAACAAGGGACAAAAAGGAAAAGAAAACCTAAGCGCCAGGGCCTAGGCGGATTTAAAAAACTGCCTGATGGCACACGAGGCGAGAAGCATAGAACAGACAGTGCCTCCTGCAGGATCATCGCAAACAGCTTCAACAAAGCAACCGACGCCTTCACCACTGAGACCACACCAGAACCAGGATCGGCACCCAGTGCCTCCACAACCTCCTCAAGCCAGTCCGAAGATTGCTCGAGAAGGGAAAAGGAACGGAGGACTGAAGCCAAATGGCCATGGGCACCAAGTTCTCAGCAACCAGGGTCACTGAAAGGGAGGGAACCTGCACGTGAAGCTGCACCTGGCCAACATCCCGTGGAATGGCAGGGGCGAACAAACACGCACTGAGGCGTTCAAACTTGCCCTCCAAGTAAACCTAACCAACGGTAAGAGCCTCTCGCTACTCAAGCGTGCGGGACCAACAGAACGTATGCCATGCCCCTAACGAAAAGAAAGGACAGTCTGCCAACCAGGATGACTCCAGAACCTTGTAATGCATCCAATAAGGAAAGGAAGAACCAAACTCAAAAAGAAGCAGGATCCATTATTGAGGCATAATCCAGGTCACACAGGAGGTAAGCCACAATGGCCTCCCACACCTCATGAGGTGGGATGCGGGAGGCCGAAAACCTCTGGAAGGAACTAAAGTATCCAGGATATCTCAGAACCAAACCCTGGGAGGTGTTGACACTATATTAAACTCGTACAGGGAGGGAGGATAAGAAAACGCCACCCCCTGTAACAACAAGCCCCCTCAAGTCAGATCCTCCCTCACCCCGGGAACCTCCACACCTGGACCCGGGGTGGAGCTGTCCTCCAAACCCTCTGCCTCAAAAGTAAAGGCAAGGTCCACCAAAAAAGCAGGAAAGAAGGGGGGGCCCACTGGTCAGACCCAGGTGCACTGACTGGAGGAGCGGGCTCGAATGTCTCTGACGCCACACTGGATGGGTCATCCCTCGGAACTGCCCGAGTCTCACCATCAACTAAACCCTGCCTCAACTCCGAAACCCTCAACCACTTAGGAGCTGTTTGCAGGAAAAGGGGAAAGGAGGAATAGGACGAACAACAGCAGGGGAACGACAAAGGGGCGCGGACAAAACCAAAGTCGAGGCGACTAACGACCCCAAGTTCGGGTCCCAATAACCAAAACTGGACTGCCTCGGGGCATCCGGGCGAACAACCAACCAAGCGCGCTGCAGCAACCTAAAATGCACATGCAACGCTGAAGCTACCTGCACCTGATTATTAAGATCAGTGGATTGCGTGAACTGGAGAACCAGCAAGAAACACCACTTGCAGGACTCCGAGTTGAAGGTGTGACTGGTCCAACAGGCAGCATGACTGAGGCATAACAGGTGATTATCACCCCCTGAGACAAGGGGACAGAGCAACCCTCAAACTCATACAAAGTCTCCGTGGTGTAGTGGTAAGACACTCGCCTGGCGTTCCGTGAGCGCTATGTCATGGGTTCGTATCCTGGCTGGGGAGGATTTACTGGGCGCAATTCCTTAACTGTAGCCTCTGTTTAACGCAACAGTAAAATGTGTACTTGGATGAAAAAACGATTCTTCGCGGCAGGGGATCGTATTCCAGGGACCTGCCCGAAACGCTACGCGTACTAGTGGCTGTACAAGAATGTAACAACTCTAGTATATATCTAAAAAAAATATAAAAAAAAGCAAGCTGGAACCCAGGGGACGCATCCATTGGACCACTGTGCTCCAGTAGGGATTTCCAGGGCCCTTTGACACACTGCTAAGGGAAGCCCAGGCAAGGTACTGCTAACCAGCGCCCCAAACTACCAAGCGAACTACAAATTGCTGAACCCCTGTAATGAGCACACACACGGGGACCTAGCAAAGGACCACCAAGAATACATGTATAAGGGTCAACAACACCAAGGGGCACACCCTCCACCAGGCAGAAAACAAAAATAAAAGAAAAACCTCTCACAAGTACGTCACAGGCTGAACAGAGTCGGCTGCTGTATTATGTGAAAACTAGCTGCACAGTATTTTTGTGCCCCTACCAGTGATGAAGCTACTTCCTTCCCAGAGGCAAACAGTGGTGCAAGAAACATCCCAGCTGACATCAAGGGTGGGCAATCTCCGAGCAGCAAAAGACCATGGCAGAGGTAGGTCCCAAGCGACTTGTGGAAGGTAACTCCAAGCCACAAGGGCAGTACTTACAGGGCACCTAGGGAAGGTAACCCTAGGTTCTTGCAGCATGAGTATTTGTGAAATTACTCCTGGCTCACACACCACCACAGGACTGGACTACACCACAAGACACAACATTGGACAAAGTCTGGAACCAGAGTCGCACGACTGCCAGGTCTCGCATAAGCCTCAGAACTAGGGGTGGATAGCCGGTCCGGGAAGTCTGGAGCTCCCCATTCCCCCCTCCTGGGGAGGAGGGAGCTGCACAGACAACAGCGTGGTAATTGTTGGGACGTCATGCTTGTATGCTCATTTTAATTTGGGCAGTCTTGTCTAACAGTTCGGCTTTTAGTAGCAAATTTGTAACCAGATAGGGTTGGTTTTGAGGCACCTACCTTTCTGGGTGCCTGACCTGGTAGATGGCAGACAGAATGATTTCCAACTACACGGGCGATTTCTATAGGCCATTGGTCCTCGTGCCTCTCCGGGAGGACCAGGTTATGGCTCATCGTCCCCGGTAGGCCTAAGAACTCCATTCGCTTTGACTGATGTCACGGTCAAATACATTCATATCAGCCCGGATAGCTCCTGGGAGATGAAGAGGCTCCCCCAGAAAAAGTGGGATAATCTTAAAAAAATCTAAATTAAATTATATTGTACAATAAATTAAATTTTATGGAAAGTTAAAGTGTTGATTTCTTTATATCACAATATTAGTATTGCACAACATTTTCTTCAACCTGACACCTAATTGAGAATTTTACCACAACAATTGTGTACTCAAGTATGCAAGTTTTTAACGAACCAGAAAAATATTTCACATTACAAACATAATAGCATGGATATCTTACAACATATGTACAATATTAACATATTAACATTGTATACATAAGCACTGTTCAAGTATTACTGTCATTTGGAATGAAATGTGAGGGTTCTAGAGCAACCTCACTAGTAGGAAGGACAGCACCTGAAGTTTTCAGTACAGACGCCGTTTTTGCCTGATGATCTTCACCAGTACTTATCTGCGAGTCAGAAACTGGTACACTACTTGCCTCTTTTGGAGCAATCAATGATGCAGTTAATGTATTGACTACATCAGATGGCTGGGATGAAGCACTGGTTGGAGCAGTATTACTCTTAACCCAAACTTTTACACCTGCTGCTCTAGTTGATGTCGACGTGGCATTTGTCTCTAACAGTTTGGCTTTATCTCTTGCTACAATTGCTGTATTATTATGTGACTGAGTTTTAGTTTGAATACTTTTCCTAGTCAGTCCTTCACTTTTATTAGTCTCATTAAATTTGCCCTCTGCTGTGGAAATACTTGACAACACTGAAGTAGATAAAGTCTTCATATAATCAACTGGAGCAACAGAGACTGCTGCATGAATATTATTCAAGGTTGCATTTTTTACTGATGAGAATTCATTGACATCAAGCAATGATTCGTGTCCTTCATGCATGCGGTTGAGGGCATCCCACAGACCAACGACAGATCCGAAAGAACCCAGCACAATCAGCATTATGTCAAAGTACCTCTGTCGCTTGGTTAATCTTCTGAAACAAATTAATTTAAAGTTACCAGACAAATTTAATTAAAGTTTGCACAAAACAAATATGAGAAGCAAATCAAAACACGGTTATGCAACATGGAACAAATGTTACAGTGGACTACAGAATGGTCAGAAGAGTATTGTTAAAGTGCCTTGGCATTATTAACCAAAATAATAAAAGCCTCCAGGGAACAGGGTAAAGCAGCAAAATACCAGCGATGAATGTAATGAAACAGCATTTTCTTGGCGAGTCCCAGAGGCTCCCCGGAGCTATACTAGGCTGATATGCTAATGTCAGACTGGCATGAGTCATGTGTATGGAGTTCTTAGGCCAACCAGGGACCATGGCCAGAACCGGGTCCCCTCAGAGAGGCAAGGGAAGCAATGGCCTATAGAAACCCCTGTGTGGTTGGAAGCATTCTATGTCTGCCATCGACCGGGTCAAGCACCCAGAAAGGTAAGGGCCCCAAAACAAACCCCTATTCTGGTTAAAATTGCTACCAAAAGTCAAACTAGTGGATAGAACTCTCCAACACAAAACAAGCAAACTAGTGCGACGTCACACGTCGCCGCGCCGCTATCTGCGCAGCTCTCCCCTCCCTGGGAGGGGGAAGGGGGAGCCCAAGACCCTTAACGCCGGTTACCCACACCTCAGTTCTGAGGCTGGATGTCAAAAAGACGAAAAAACCAGCTTTGAATGTAATGAAACGCCATTTTCTGGGTGAGCCCCGGAGGCTTCCTGGAGCTTATTGGGCTAATGTATGTTATATTAGATCGGGATATTAGCTAAGGAGTTCAGACCTACCCAGGACCAGCGCCAGAGCCTGGCCCCTTCAGAGAGGTTTCAGGGAGCAATGGCACTGGAAAACCCCTTTGTGGTTGAGGTTTTCCTTATCTGCCATCGACCGGGGTTAGGCACCCAGAAAGGTAGGCATAACAAAACAAACCCCACATGGTAAACTAAAACAAAAAACCGAACAGAGAGGTAGAAACTCCCTACAATCCCAAGGAAACAAGGATACAAGCAAACATCATACTTTACTGCCGCGCCGATCATCCGCGCAGCCCTCCCCGCCCCGAGAGGGGGAGGGGGGAGCCCCAGACCTACAGCGCCGGCTGCCTAGCATCAGTTCGTAAGGTAATGTCAACCGGGAAAGACGCTTCTCTGGCCTCAGTTTCCTAGGCGGTGTTTGCCTTGTGTGGCGTTCACTGCCGTGTGTTGTGGTGTGCGGTGGCCAGTACCTCATCAGTGCCGGGGCTGCATGCGCTTAGGGGTTTCCTTCCCTAAGCGCCCTGCGTGTACTGCCCTTGCGTAACAGGGTTATCTTCCTTGGGGCGTTCGGGAACTATTCCCGTAGAGGTTCTTGCTGCTCGGTATTTGCCTCGCCCTTGGGACCAGCTGGGGCTTGGGGCCCTTGTTTGGCCCTGGGTAGGGACTGGTATTGTGCTGGTTAGGGCGTCAAGGTGTTTCGCGACCTGCCACCTAAGCGGCAACCGGTTCTTGTTGCCTCTGGAGACGGCATTTCATTACATTCAATGCTGGTTTTCTGAGGAAAGCCCCGTTGGTTCCTCGGAGCTAACTACTCAGAGACGGAAAAAGAGGGACTTACCCGGGAGGCGGACGTCGCTTACTCCTCAACTCGAAGCCGAGACAACTGGCTGCAACCGCCGACCCAAAGCAACACAGGCCCGATGGGGCCCAGGGACATTCATGAAGTAACGAGCAGCCAGGACCCTGTTCGACCGCCAAAAACCCCGCACCCGAATATCAGACCAAGACATATTTCCAAAGACGGCAGCAAGAGTCGCGAACTTGCGGACATCATGGGCACAGGGATAGACTGCAGGCTGGCTGAATTTGATAACCATGCAGACGACCTGGGAGACCCGAACCCGCGAACAGGGAAGGGAAACCAGATCAACCCAAAGCACGTCCCCGGACACAGAAGCTGTGGTGCGCAAATAACGGCGAAGCGCCACAACAGAACACAAAGCATGATGCACCCCCGGCCGTACCAACCAAGTATCAACCACCTACGGACCCATCCGGAAACGCAGCAGTCTCATTCTTCGCCAGAAAAAAAGGAGACAGCTGCAAATGAACAAAACAATCTCCACGACCAAAAGAGCAGAAACCCCTGCACCGGAGGAGAGCATGAAGTTCCCCGACCCGACCTCCAGAAGCTAATGCCAACAAGAAAAGAGCCTTGGAGAAACAAACCCGGACCGAAGGTGCCACAACGAAATGAGGAGACGAAAAGTAAACGAGCTTGCTCTGTCCAAAAACCAGGACGGCTTAGGTGGAGCATGAGCAGGCTGGAGGTGAGACAGCTTGCAAAATGGCGCAGACGTAACATCGATACCGAAGGCAAGGTGAAGCGGCTCTGCCAGCGCCGCATGATACGAAGCGACAGTGTTAGGCATAAGATGACGGTCCTGAAACAACCAAGAGAGAAAGGACAAGACCATTTTAACAGACAACGAATGAACACGACGAAGACGCAAAAAGAAACAGAAGGACCGCCAGGAAACTTCATACTGCTGCCGAGAGAAGCCCTCAGGTGGGACACCAACAAAGAGGCCACCTGATCACCAGAGAGATGATGAGAGACTCGAGTCAAAAAAACCATATGCGAAGACTCGAGGTGAAGATCGAACCAGGCACGTGACGTACTGGCCCGATCTGCTGAAAGAGGTGGAGCTGCGGGAAAACCCTCGGGTTCGGATACTGAACAAGCAGCGCCTGAAACCATGGCTGGGCCGGCCACCAAGGGTCCAGAAGGACAACTCTCCCCTGGTAAGTCTCCAAGCGAGTCAGGACCTGGAGCAACAGCAGAACCGGAGGAAAGAGGTACAGGAACCCCCACCTCGACCAGTCCAGCCAAAAGGCATCGACCCGGACAGCCTCGCGATTGGGGAAGGGCACCGCATACTCGGGAAGGCGCATTGACCACGCTGACGCGAAGAGGTCCACCTCGGGGCGCCCAAACGTCTGGCAAAGCCAACGGAAGGAAGCGTTGTCGACCGTCCACTCCATGGAGAGGGGAACGAAGCGAGACAGGCCGTCGGCTAAGACATTGGACACTCCCTGTACGTGAACTGCCAGGAGAGCCAAACCCCAAGAACTCAGCAGACGAGTCACCCGAAGCGACCAATCCCAAAGTGATAAGGACCGCATCGAATCCCCCGCGGTTCAGGCAATGAATCACCGGAGAGCAGTCTGAATGGAACCGAATCGTCGATCCGCGGGCGACCGAATCCTCCGAAGAGCAAACCACACTGCCGCGAACTCCTGCACCGCTCGATGGAAGGATGGACCCCAACACCCCTGACTGGCCTGGTGAGCACTGGTCACAAAGCCCCAGCCGAGAGACGACGCATCTGTGTACACATCGAGCGAGGGCTCGGGTAGGCGCCAAGGCACTGAACCCCGAAAAACCCGAAGAGGAAGCTGGTGATGCAGCAACTGATGCAAGGCCCCCGGGGGTTGAACCCAGCAATCATGAGAGAGGCAGAAGGGGCGACCCCAAAGGAACCAGAACAGCTGATGAAGCCAAACCCGACCAAGCGGGTAGACTACCATCGCGAAGTTCAGACTACCGCACAGCCCCTCGAGCAACTGCCGGGTGACCCGAGGGCCCACCAGAAACAGACGAAGGTGGGACCACAGCTGCAGGAGATACTCCGGAGGGAGAGACAAGGAAGCGGTCTGAGAGTCCCAAACGAGACCCAGCCAAGTCCGAACCTGAGAGGGGACCAGATGGGACTTCCTCCAGTTCACCAAGAACCCGAACCCGGCGAGCTGGGAAAGAACTAAATCCCTGGCTAACAAGCAGGCCGACCGGCTGGGAGCCCAAACCTGCCAGTCGTCGAGGTAGGCCAACATCCGAAAACCTAAGAGATACAAACGGGCCACCACGACCCGCGTAAGGTGCATGAACACGCGAGGTGCCAGGTTCAACCTGAACGGAAGACAACAAAAGTGGCAACTTAGATGCCCCATAACAAAACTGAGTCAGTCTCGGAACCTCAGATGAATCGGGACATGCCAATATGCGTCCCGGAGATCCAGAGACACCATCCAAGTGCCCAGCTCCGAGAGGAGCCGAACCTGAGACAGCGTAGTCATCCAAAAGGAGGGGCAATGAACCTAGGGGTTCAGACGGGACAAGTCCAGAATGAACCTCAGATCCGCACAGTTCCGTTTCGGGACCAGAAACAGATGGGAAACCCATCTGAGAGACGACGTCGTTTTGACGACGCCCAAGCGAACCCACTCCAAGACGACCTGACAGAGCGTAGGGGAAGAAACCTGCCCTGGCAGCCCCAACCCCCCGAAAGGGGGAAGAGGGCACCCAACGCCACCGCAGGCCGACAGACGACAGACCCGAAATGCCCACGAATTGTTGGACCAGGCATGGGCGAACAGCAGAAGCCTCTCCCCCATCGCCCCGTCAATGGGGCAAACCGCAAAAGGGCCAGCGCCCCTTACGAGACCCAGAACCCCGCATAGAGCGAACACGCGCCGACCAGACGAGGGCATATCCGAAACAGGAGCCGAACCCGAACCTGACACCAGTGGCCTACCACGACGAGGAAAACCCCGAGCCCTGGCACGACCCTTCCGGGAAGACCCACCACGGGACCCCCGGAAAACCAACAAGTCCGATATCAGATGACAAGCCGATGACGCAGCCTGGATAAACTGCGCCACGGCCGACTCCTCAAACAGAAGAGGACAAAAAGGCGACGACAGCCTAAGAGCCTGAGCCCAAGCAGATTCCATGGAGGAACCCAGCACCGCCTGCCGACACGCGAGACGGAAAGCATAAAACAGGGAAGCCGCATCCCGCAAAATCGGCGCGAAAAGTTTCAACAAGGCAGCCGACGAATGCGCTGCCGAGGACAAGGCGCCGGACCCCGGGACGGACCCAAGCGTCCTCATATCCTTCACTAGCCAATCCGATGACAGCTCCAGGAGGGAAAAAAATGCAAGGCCAAAGCCAAAAGGCCCATGGTGCACAAGTCCTCCGCCACGAGCGCCGCCGAAAGGGTGGAAACCTGCACATGGAGCTGAACAACGCCCACATTGCGGGGAAGGGCAGGGGCATACAAGTACTCGTTCAGGTACTCAAGATACCCCAGGTACCCCAGGAAAACCTGAAACACTGTGGAAGCTTCCTGCCACTCCAGCGTGCGGGAACAACAGAAGGAATGCCAGGAATCCAGAACAAACAAGGGGCAGTCCGCTAGCCAGGAAGACTCCAGAACCTCGTAACGGAGCCAGAAAGGGAACAAAGTCCCAAACCTGAACTCGGAAGGATCCATTTTCGAGGCATAATCCGGGTCACGCAGAAGATACGTTGTAAGGGCTACCCGCACCACACCAGGTTGGATACGATAAGCCGAAAACCTCCGGAAAGACAGAACCAACGCACCCAGGGGAACACGGAACCGAACCCAGGGAGGGGCCGACACCAAATCCAACTCGTACGCAGAGGGAGGGGGGGGGGGGAAGAATATCCCACACCTTGTAACAACAAGCCCCGCTCAGAGGGAAGAAAAACCCAGGCGGGGTCCAGCGGGGCCCAAGGCCCCCAAGTCAGCCCCTCCCCAGCCTCGAGGTCCTTCACCACGGCCCTAGACCGAGTCCTCTCCCCAAGCACCGACCCCACAAGACAAGGACGGAGCAGCCGTAGAAGCCGGAAGAAAGGGGGCCCACTGCTCAGACCTATAAGCTTCAGCCAGGAGACAAGACTTGAATGTCTCTGCCACCCCCCCCCCCGGAAGGGGCATCCCCCGAAGCTGCCCGAGTCTCAAGATCAAGTAACCCCTGCTCCGACTTCGAAACCCTTAGATGTTTCGGAGCCGGAAGCATTGCCAGAACAAACAACAGGAGGGGAAGGATGAGGAGGTGCGGACTTAACCAGGATCGAGGAGACCCCCACCCCCAAGTCCGTGTCTCGAAAAGCAAAGTGGGGCAGCCCCGGGGCATCCGGGTGAGCAACCAACCAAGCGCGTTGCAACAGACGAAACCTAGCTTGCAACGCACGTGCCGCCTGTACCCAAATAGAATCATCAGAGGATCGGGTAAATTGAGTCACAAGCAAGCAGCAACACTCACAGGACTCAGGGTCAAAAGTATCACAGACCCAACAGGCAGCGTGGCAGAGGCAAAAACAATGAGGGTCACCCCGAGACAAGGGGACCGAGCAACCCTCAAACTCGCACATAGTGAGCGGGGACTCCAGGGTCACATCCATTGAACCCACGCATCCCCTAGGGGATTCCCAGGGTCCTGAGCGCTTACTTTAAGAGGACTCGCGCTCAGGTAGTCCCAGGCAGGGTGAAGCTAACCGGCGCCCAAAACTACCAAGCAAACCTCCATAGCTGTATCCCAGGGACGTGTACACTCACGGGGCAACCCATCCTCCGAATTGACAGTACGATTTAATACTAAGTGTAATAAGTACACTTTCTTACTGTCATAAACAGTGAATAATTGCACTTATGGGGCTGTTACATTTACCCAACTCCCTCCCCCGATTTAATTCTCCTCATTTTCTGTTAAGACACTCAGAATTTTAGGATGAAGTTTTCAATTTCAATATACAATACACAAGTTTTAAATATCAGGAATTTCTTTTTCTGGTTTATTAAACAATACTGTATAGATTTTATACAAAATTTTAAAATATCCTGAGCTATTTTACAATTTATTGATATATTTTAGTTTTGTTTTATTAGTTTTATACAACTGTAATATCAATATAGCTATAGGTTAAGTACTAATTGTAATTAAGAAGCAATAAAATTATTATCTTCAAAAACTAAGACGTTTAGGTGAAGCTGTGGTTTTCTATTCAGTTTCTCAGGTAAACTCAAATATTTACAATATATTTGACAGTACGATTTAATACTAAGTGAAAATAAGTACAATTCCTAACTGCTATGAATAGTACATAATTGCACTTATTTGTCTCCTAACATTTACCACCCCATTTTTGGAAGACGGGCTGCACGGGGACCTAGCAAGGGGCGCCACCAAGGAGAACCGTTGAAGGGCAAACACCAGTGGAATAATAGGGCAGAACCCCCCACAAGGCCAAAACAAAAAGAAAAACAAAATCCCGCAAGAGGACAGCGAACTCCAAGGAACAGAGCCGGCCGCTATATCGGGAATACAAAGCTGCGCAGCACCCTGCGCCCCAACCAGTGCAAACTGCCTCTTACTTGTGGGTAACAAGGGAGAACAGAACACCCAAGAGCAAAACAGGAGGCCGAAAAACCGAACGGTAGAACGGACCAGCAGAGGCAGGTCCCGAGGAGCCTGTGGAAGGTGGCCCCAAGCCCCAAGGGCAGTACTTACAGGACACCTAGGGAAGGCAGCCCTAGGCGCATACAGCCCAAGTACCAAAGATAACTCCTGGCTCTCGCACCCACAGAAAACAAACACCACACACAAAGCACAGTGCTGTAGCAACACTGGAGCCAGAGCACACAACCTTCGCCTATAGCATCAGCCTCAAGAACTGAGGTGTGGGTAGCCGGCGTGGAGGGTCTGGGGCTCCCCCTTCCCCCTCCCGGGGAGGGGGAAGCTGGGCAGACAGTGGCGCGGCGACGTGTGACGTCACACTAGTTTGCTTATTTTTTGTTGGGAAGTTCTAGCCACTAGTTTGGCTTTTGGTAGCAATTTTAACCATAATAGGGGTTTGTTTTGGGGCCCTTACCTTTCTGGTTGCCTGATCCAGTCGATGGCAGACACGGAATGCTTCCAATCACACGGGGGTTTCTATAGGCCATTGCTCCCCTTGCCTCACTGAGGGGGGGGCCCGGTTCTGGCCGTGGTCCCCGGTAGGCCTAAGAACTCCATACACATGACTGATGCCAAAGTCTGACATTAGCATATCAGCGTGGGATAGCTCCAGGGAGCCGACAGAGCTCTCGCCAGAAAATTATGCATGTTTGTATAGAAAACTTTGCAATGTTGAGGTCAGGAGCCTAGTCAGGCTTGGGAGCAACATGCAAGTTCTCTCTCCTCCTCCTCCTGAGACATGTAGCCATTCCCACCTCCCTGCACACCCCTCTACCTCCCCCTCCCCCAAACGGTGCACTTAAACTCATCACTGAAGGGGTCACAGCATAAGAAGCTAATGTTAACAGTGAGAACCTTTGTAAACACTCCCTACTAGTTTTGGATCATCCCCAAATACACTCGAGCAGCTCATATAGAGCACCCCAAATACACTCGAGCAGCTCATATAGAGCACCCCAAATACACTCGAGCAGCTCATATAGAGCACCCCAAATACACTCGAGCAGCTCATATAGAGCACCCCAAATACACTCGAGCAGCTCATATAGAGCACCCCAAATACACTCGAGCAGCTCATATAGAGACCCCAAATACACTCGAGCAGCTCATATAGAGCACCCCAAATACACTCCAGCAGCTCATATAGAGCACCCCAAATACACTCCAGCAGCTCATATAGAGCACCCCAAATACACTCGAGCAGCTCATATAGAGCACCCCAAATACACTCGAGCAGCTCATATAGAGCACCCCAAATACACTCGAGCAGCTCATATAGAGCACCCCAAATACACTCGAGCAGCTCATATAGAGACCCCAAATACACTCGAGCAGCTCATATAGAGCACCCCAAATACACTCGAGCAGCTCATATAGAGCACCCCAAATACACTCGAGCAGCTCATATAGAGCACCCCAAATACACTCGAGCAGCTCATATAGAGCACCCCAAATACACTCGAGCAGCTCATATAGAGCACCCCAAATACACTCCAGCAGCTCATATAGAGCACCCCAAATACACTCCAGCAGCTCATATAGAGCACCCCAAATACACTTGAGCAGCTCATATAGAGCACCCCAAATACACTCAAGCAGCTCATATAGAGCACCCCAAATACACTTGAGCAGCTCATATAGCAACCTGTCCTCTTAAAAAGAACGTCGCTTTTGGCCGTTTGCCAGTATGGCCGAATTTGGACGTAATTTGAAAATGAAAAAAAAAATGAAAATAAATTTGGGATTTTTTTTTCAACAACAGTAAGTTGAAAGGGTTAAGCTTAACTTGACCCTTCAAAGGGTCAAAGGGTCAAAGCTTAACAGTAGAGTTAAGGGTCCTCTGATAGGTTAGGTGGGCAGGAAATTCTCATAAAGTTTCAAAACGTTATGAAAAACGTTAATTTAAAGTGTCCTCTTATAACCTCTGCGCGTACGCCGGACGACTCAAATAGAAAACGGAACAGAACGTCACTTTTGTGAGTCGATTTCATTTCAAATTACGTCCAAATTTAGCCATATCGCGCATATGAGCCAAAAGTGACGTTATTTTTAAGAGGACGGGTTGCATATAGAGTATTGAGTTTAGCGACATCAACAATGATGAACACTGTCTTTCACTAAAATATGACCGATCTATTAAAGAAGTACGGGTGGAACAAGAAAACATTTAGAGATCATCAGTAAACATGTAGAGTAGTAGCTTGAGTGACTCCTTCTCTCCACTATAAACTTACTGTTTGAATATTGAGAGATGAAAAGCTGCTGGAAGGATAAAGGCCAAAAGAGTGCAGCATGTTGCACCAATCAAACTCATCAGAATGGCAAAGTTGGGGACAGCGTTCACCACCAACCCGGTCATAACCACCAGTACCATCCGCATCATATTCTGTAAATAGTAGAGGGGATTATTAACAGTTATAAACCGTGGTAACCCAGGGTTAATACTGTCTTACAAGGCATTTCTGACTTTCATATGGTTTATTACCAACACCAGGGACCACAAGTTGGGGAAGCACAGGGTTTCAACTGCACACTGATGGAATGTCTCAAAAAGCATGAAAGTTGGTCACAAAACTCAAACATTCATGAAACCACCATTCATGAAGGAATGTTTGGCACAAACAAATACCAATGCCCTAAACTACCCACAAATAGCTAACAAATCACCCAACTGCTTCTCTCCTTCCCCCCCCCCCCCAGGTGTCACCACCAGTCAGCCAGGAGTCCAGTGTCACTGCCAGTCAGCCAGGAGTCCAGTGTCACCACCAGTCAGCCAGGAGTCCAGTGTCACCACCAGTCAGCCAGGAGTCCAGTGTCACCACCAGTCAGCCAGGAGTCCAGTGTTACCACCAGTCAGCCAGGAGTCCAGTGTCACCACCAGTCAGCCAGGAGTCCAGTGTCACCACCAGTCAGCCAGGAGTCCAGTGTCACCGCCAGTCAGCCAGGAGTCCAGTGTCACCGCCAGTCAGCCAGGAGTCCAGTGTCACCACCAGTCAGCCAGGAGTCCAGTGTCACCACCAGTCAGCCAGGAGTCCAGTGTCACAGCCAGTCAGCCAGGAGTCCAGTGTCACAGCCAGTCAGCCAGAAGTCCAGTGTCACCACCAGTCAGCCAGGAGTCCAGTGTCACCGCCAGTCAGCCAGGAGTCCAGTGTCACCACCAGTCAGCCAGGAGTCCAGTGTCACCGCCAGTCAGCCAGGAGTCCAGTGTCACCACCAGTCAGCCAGGAGTCCAGTGTCACAGCCAGTCAGCCAGAAGTCCAGTGTCACCACCAGTCAGCCAGAAGTCTAGTGTCACCACCAGTCAGCCAGGAGTCCAGTGTCACCACCAGTCAGCCAGGAGTCCAGTGTCACCACCAGTCAGCCAGGAGTCCAGTGTCACCGCCAGTCAGCCAGGAGTCCAGTGTCACCGCCAGTCAGCCAGGAGTCCAGTGTCACCGCCAGTCAGCCAGGAGTCCAGTGTCACCGCCAGTCAGCCAGGAGTCCAGTGTCACCACCAGTCAGCCAGGAGTCCAGTGTCACCACCAGTCAGCCAGGAGTCCAGTGTCACAGCCAGTCAGCCAGGAGTCCAGTGTCACCACCAGTCAGCCAGGAGTCCAGTGTCACCACCAGTCAGCCAGGAGTCCAGTGTCACCACCAGTCAGCCAGGAGTCCAGTGTCACCACCAGTCAGCCAGGAGTCCAGTGTCATCACCAGTCAGCCAGGAGTCCAGTGTCACCACCAGTCAGCCAGGAGTCCAGTGTCACCACCAGTCAGCCAGGAGTCCAGTGTCACAGCCAGTCAGCCAGGAGTCCAGTGTCACAGCCAGTCAGCCAGGAGTCCAGTGTCACAGCCAGTCAGCCAGGAGTCCAGTGTCACCACCAGTCAGCCAGGAGTCCAGTGTCACCACCAGTCAGCCAGGAGTCCAGTGTCACAGCCAGTCAGCCAGGAGTCCAGTGTCACCGCCAGTCAGCCAGGAGTCCAGTGTCACTGCCAGTCAGCCAGGAGTCCAGTGTCACAGCCAGTCAGCCAGGAGTCCAGTGTCACAGCCAGTCAGCCAGGAGTCCAGTGTCACAGCCAGTCAGCCAGGAGTCCAGTGTCACCACCAGTCAGCCAGGAGTCCAGTGTCACAGCCAGTCAGCCAGGAGTCCAGTGTCACCACCAGTCAGCCAGGAGTCCAGTGTCACCGCCAGTCAGCCAGGAGTCCAGTGTCACCACCAGTCAGCCAGGAGTCCAGTGTCACAGCCAGTCAGCCAGGAGTCCAGTGTCACAGCCAGTCAGCCAGGAGTCCAGTGTCACCACCAGTCAGCCAGGAGTCCAGTAATAATTAAAGTGTAGTTACAAAAGTGTAGTTACAGGATGAGAGCTATGCTCGTGGTGTCCCGTCTTCCCAGCACTCTTTATCATATAACGCTTTGAAACTACTGACGGTCTTGGCCTCCACCACCTTCTCACCTAACTTGTTCCAACTGTCTACCACTCTGTTTGCGAAAATGAATTTTCTTATATTTCTTCGGCATCTGTGTTTAGCTAGTTTAAATCTATGACCTCTTGTTTTTTAAGTTCCAGGTCTCATAAAATCTTCCGTATCGATTTTATCAATTCCTGTTACAATTTTGTACGTAGTGATCATATCACCTCTTTTTCTTCTGTCTTCTAGTTTTGGCATATTTAATGCCTCTATCCTCTCCTTGTAGCTCTTGCCCTTCAGTTCTGGGAGCCACTTAGTAGCACGTCTTTGCACCTTTTCCAGTTTGTTGATGTGCTTCTTAAGATATGGGCACCATACAACTGCTGCATATTCTATCTTTGGCCTAACAAAAGTCGTTAACAATTTCTTTAGTATATTGCCATCCATGTACTTAAAAGCAATTCTGAAGTTAGAAAGCGCGGCATAGGCTCCTCGCACGTTCTTTATGTGGTCCTCAGGTGATAGTTTTCTATATAGAACCACCCCTAGATCTCTTTCTTATCTGAATTCTTTAAAGATTTCTCACATAATATATAGGTTGTGTGGGGTCTATGTTCTCCTATTACGCATTCCATAACATAACATTTAATTCACATTAAATACCATTTGCCAAGTAGTGCTCCATATACTTATTTTGTCCAGGTCATCTTGAAGGGCATGACAATCATCGAAGTTTCTTATCCTTCCTATTATCTTAGCATCATCAGCAAACATGTTATGTATACCAACTGGTATATCATTTATGTAGACAAACATCACTGGTGCAAGTACCCTGTGGTACTCCACTTGTGACATTTCTCCAGTCCGATACATTGCCTCTGATTACTGCCCTTATTTTTCTATCAGTTAGAAAATTTTTCATCCATGTTAGAAGCTTACCTGTCACCCCTCCAATATTTTCTAATTTCCAGAACAACCTCTTATGCGGAACTCTGTTGAAAGCCTTTTTTAGGTCTAGATAGATGCAGTCAATCCAACCATCTCTTTCCTGTAAAATCTCTGTGGCTCGATCATAGAAACTGAGTAAATTCGACACACAGGATCTTCCAGAACGAAAACCATACTGTCTGTCTGATATTTATCAGACAGATCATATCATTTATATATAATATTATCGATGATATCATATCATTTCTCTCCAGATGTTCTACCCATTTAGTTTTGATTAGTTTTTCCAATACTTTCACTATTAACACTTGTCAATGATACAGGTCTAATTATATGATACAGGATAATTAAGGGGGTCTTGCCTGCTGCCACTTTTGTAGATTGGAACTATGTTTATTTTATTTTATTTATTTATTTATTTATTTATTTATTTATTTATATACAAGAAGGTACATTGGGTTAGAGAGAATACATAGTATTTACAATCTTGTAAAGCCACTACCACGCGCAGCATTTCGGGCAGGTCCTTAACCCTTAAATGGTGCATAGCTATATACCATTTGACACCCCACAGGTGCATAAAAAAAAAAAAATATATATATATATATATATATATATATATATATATATATATATATATATATATATATATATATATATATATATATATATATATATATATATATATATATATATATATATAATTTTTTCTTCCTAACCTGTTAATTTGTGTTCACTGATCAGTGGAAAAATAATAAAAAAAATTGTAAGTGGCATATATTGCCCACTATAGGGCGGGGAATTCTGGCAAAAATCAGGCGCTGACTGAGCGTGCGTCCCAGGCGGTCTGTTGATCGCCAGCTGTCAGGCCGGAATTTCCACAAAGAGTTAATTACCTAATTATTTCAATGTCTCTGATTGATTTTTCGTAGTTTTTTTGCTGTAATATTATTCAATAGTGTGTAGTGTGATATATTTATATAATAAAATGAGTGAATCATCACTGTAATCAAAAATATGGTGTGCATATTGTTGATTCAATTATGTTCATCAAACAGTGAACAAATACTTTGTCGGTTATTACACTATATACACAGGTTATATATAAGTATCTGCATGTTTTGTTCACCATGACGAACCACTAAGTTGGTATGCTGAGTGGCAGTGGCAGTGGCAGGCAGTGACTGGCTGCCACTGGCTGCCACTCCCTCCCTCACCTCACCTCACCTGACTTGCCACCATTCTCCACCCACCATACTGTTTTTGCTTTTATATACAGACGTTATATATAAGTATTTACATGTTTTGTTCACCATAACTGTACATCTAAGCTTGTATGGTGAGTAAAGGCACAAAGACGTAGCTACTCGCACAGTCAGCTGGTGGCGGCCGCCCTCAAGGCCAGACACACTAATATTTCTCCTACAACAATACTGTTTGTGGTGTTATTATGCTATATACACACATTATATATAAATATCTACCTGTTTTATTCACCATACTTGTACAAGTAAACTGGTATGGTGCCCAAAGACCATCGTGGTCATCAGTAAACAACATGACAAGTCCTGCAGACGACGCTCCTCCCTCACCAAAATGGCGGCTCCCAACCTCCTACTCTCACTGTTATCTCACATTATACACACGTTATATATAAGTATCTACATTTGTGTTACCATAGCGAACCACTAAGCTGGTATGGTGAGTGCAGTCAATAAAAGGTGGCCACACACACTCAAAAGACAACGCCACCATCCTCCCTCCCACAGCATTACTCCTCCCTCCATGGAGCACAGCGCTAAATATCACCACAATCCTGCTATTATCAGAACCCTGGTCAGTTTTATCACAGTCAGGGGTCTTCTGTAATAATATCATCGCTACATAATAGCATGAACAAGTATATTTTGGCATTTTTAGGCGATGCTGTGGTCACAAGCTGAACAGCAGTGCTGTTAGCTCATGCTGCGTGCGTCAGGCTTGGTTGCTCACTCAATACTGAGGCCAATAACACCCGGGAGTTTGGCCCACGATTTTTTTTTTAAATGGCA